CCCCCACGGGGTAGCTTTGAGATTTACGTGGTGTTGCGTGAAATCGCGTCAGGGCATAGAAATTACTCCACTGACCTCACTCGTGTGCCCACGAGCCCTTCAGATAGGGGCTGAGGGCAGACGGGGGCTGGTGCTCAGACCCTATTTGTTCCTTTTAAGTTTTTATTATGTATTTTTGAGAGAGGGAGACACACAGAGCATGAGCAAGGGAGGGGCAGAGAGAGGGAGACACAGAATCCGAAGCGGGCTCCAGGCTCCGAGCGGTCAGCACAGCCCGACACCGGGTGCGAACCCGTGAAGCTTGAGGTCATGACCCAAGCTGAAGTCAGACGCTTAACTGACCGAGCCACCCAGGCACCCCCCCCCCTTGTTTGATTTTTGTTTTAAGTTTCTGTATTTATTTTGAGAGAGAGAAAAAAACCCAAGCAGGTTCCCCACCACCAGCACGGAGCCCCTTGCAGGGCTCAAACTCCCCAACTGCGAGACTGTGACCTGAGCCGAAATCAAGAGTCGGAGGCTTAAGTGACTGAGCCACGCAGGCGCCCCGCTGTTTGATTTTTTTTTTTTTTTTTTTTTTTTTTTTTTTTTGATTGCACAAAACTTCCTCTCTCCGAGGCCCAGGGTGAGTGAGTAACAGGGCAGAGTGTCCGGACGCGGAATCCAGCCTGCAGTCATCCCACCGAGGCTGGGCCGAGAGGCTCTCCCGGCCGTGCGCAGAGCCATCGGGATCTGTGAGGCCTAGGAGAGCAGACACCTGCTTTTCCACTTCGATGTGTCTTGCGGTGGGCCCGAGGGTGATGAGGCTGGGGCTCAGGGATAACCAATAGCTGCCTTCCCTCCCTTCCCCGGCTCACATCCTTCCTGTCCAGCCCTCAGCCACAGGTCACAGGACTCAGCAGAGACACTCCTGTGGTTTCTTCAGTGAAATTTGTCACCGCCTGTCCGTCACCCTGCCCCTCTGGGCTGAGGTTTCGGTCTCAGCCCAGTGAACTCAGATAAGTCCCTTGAGGGCTGTGAAGTGCTCAGTGGCGCCTGAGGAGCCGACAGCGCGAACCCAGGGGGCTCGGCTCTTAGCACCTACCTGTAGGGCGCCATCGAAGTGGTGCCCTCCGTGCTTCCTGTCCTAGCCCTGCCCTAGTGCGAGGGAGAAGAGGGTAAGCCGAGAGGAATAGGATCCAGAGAGGAAGCTCCAGTGTCTCTCTCCTCGGAGCCTCCCCGCCAGGCCCCGTCCTACCTGCCGGAGCCCTTTCCCTTCTGTCCCCTGGACGCCAGATCTTCCCTGATGCCCCGACCCCTCGGGCCCCCTCTATCCCCTCAGCCGCCCTGGGAGAGCCTCAGCTCTGCTATATCTTGGATGCCATCCTGTTCTTGTATGGTATCGTCCTCACCCTGCTCTACTGCCGACTCAAGGTAAGGCTGGGGGAGGCTCGGAGGGGGGAGAGGGCTGGCAAGAGGCATGGGAGGGCCGGCCGAGCAGCAGGGCTTTGAGGAGCAGGAGTGACAGGGGCTCCCCACGAAGTTAGGAGGGACGGGGTTGGGCCACTAACTCCGCCGTTACTGATTACCTTCCTCCCACTCCAGATCCAGGTGCGGAAGGCGGCGATAGCCAGCTATGAGGTATGGACCCTTCCACGCGTGGGGGGTCGGTTTGACGGCCTCTCGGCCTCGGGGTCCGCGGCCTCCGGGAGGGCGTGAGTCTTGGGTGCCGACCGGCACGAGCTTCAGAGCCCCCGCCCCCACACCCCATCCCTAGCCAAGTCACGAGTGGAATATTCGGCGGGTGACAAGGGAGGGTCACGTGGAGAGTGACCATGAGCACGGGCGGGTTGGATGTGGTGTGTTATGTGCGTTGGTGGCCATGTGGGCACGTGGAGTTCCTGCCCTGGAGTGTCGCTGCGAGGACCCTCCTGCCCCGGGGGCCTGCCACCTCCCCGGGAGGGGACGACGCTGCCGCGGGACCCTGAAGGAGGGGGCGGGTCTCTAATGCCTTTGCCCCTTTTGCCTCCGCAGAAATCAGATGGCATTTACACGGTGAGTGACCCTGTCTCCCTCCACCCCAGCCCCGGGAAGTCGGCAGAAGAGGGTGGGATTTTGTGTGACTGTTGGAAGACACGGGGTCTGTGGGGGTGGGTGGGAGCCCTGACCATCCTCTGACC